AGTAATTAGATGTCATGGAGCATTTTCTTACAAGGTTTCTTGATTGGATTTATTTTGCTTTCCGTTTCATATTTAGTTCATGGCAAATAGCCTTAGGTTTGAAATGATTTGATTATGATAATTCATCCCTTATTGCTTTCTTCTCAATCCCCTCATTTAAACACCATCTTCCAATTTGGATAGTGAAAAAGATATCAGAATGAACTGCATAAGATGCAGTTATTTTTTTAATCCAGTTGTCAACCCTAATGTTTCCACTCTACCCTGGGTTTTGCTCCGTTCTCCCTGGGCTTAAAGCTTCATTGTCTAGTAGGAGTTTAGAATGCTAAGTATGCTTTAATGTTTGTATTTGGACTTTCAAAAAAATGTGGTAAAAGGATTTTATTGATGAGGGAATTATAAGCTTATTAGACTTAAAATTACTAGACTTCATTTTAAACCTAACTATATAGATGCTGTCTTCCATTTCTGCCCAGTGAAGTATTTTTCTTCTAAGATAAAATATGAAAGGTGCTTTGCAATAGAGACTGCCTCATAATTAGTGATACTATTTTTCATTTTATATAGTGGTACATGAGGCAGGCAACTTCACAAATGAAGAGGTTGAATTTGCCTCATAGTACTGAAGGCACACGGTCCAAGCAAATGGTATAAACACTGGCAAGGCCCCCTTTGAGCTCTATCATACCCTGTAGGAATGTGTGTATGTGTATCTCTATCTGATCTCTCTCCCTCTCCTTATTAATCACAAAGGCTCCACCCTCATGGCCCTAAGCCAGTCTCTTCCCAGAGCTCCTCCCCTCATGTCTACTCGAGTTGAATTCATTTCTACTCTCTTAATACTGCTTGGCTTAAGGCTTTGGGCTTTAAATTCCTCCATGAGTATAAGGGGTAAACCACATTCATGTCACACCAAAAGGTGCCAATTATTGCGGGATTTTACTTAGATCTGTGTTATATTTTAAAATTTTGTGCAATTTTTAAGAAATGTCCTTTTTAAAGCTTGGTTTTAAATGAAAATATTAGCAGAAAAGAATATGCTCCAGATGTAATTATAGTACCTTCCAATGATAAAGCCTAAGCCATTCGGAAGTAATATCTACCATTTGGTCTTGTGTTTGCTGTTCACTCATAGCAGTTTGATAGGCATCATGACATGGAAACCGTAAGTGTAGCTGTGACCATACCAAGGAGTACTTTCAGAACAAGAAAGGACAAAGGCCAGTTAAAGAATGAACATTTCAAGGGCAGGCTGAAGAGGAGCTAACCAAGTAATGGCCAGAGTGATAGAGAAACTAGGAGAATATTGCGATTCGAAGCCAAGAAAGAATTTGAAGAATGACTTGGATTTCTTCAGGTGCCATAATTATGATGAGAACTGAAAAGTAATTTTTGAGTTTTACAGTCAGTGATCTTTGTGAATGCAGTTTCAATAAAGTGTGGAAATGGATCCCAGTTTAACTGGGTTTAAGAACCAACTGGAAATGAATACATAAAAACAGTTCATGTGAACTATTAACTCAGATGTGAAGGAAAGAGGAGAGGTGGCACCTAACAAAGGAAGTGATATTCAGCAAGGACCACCATCTTGCCAAGATAGTAAAGACCTTTTGTATATTTTTAGGCTATGGAAAAAGCTAGTAGATAGAGCGGTTATGAAAGAAAGATAATAAGCAATGAAAACAGGCCCTAAAAAATGCTGTGGGAAATTGAACTAAGAACATAAGGTGCCACTGTTATTGGAGTAGAGAAGATGAATAAGGTCACAAAATATGTGTATTTATAGAAGACGTGAGCATAAGATTTGATATTTACACATTACCTTGTAGAATACTAGGTTAAGCAATGTGTCATAAAATGCATTACTAGTAGTAATTTTACCAGCTAGCATTATTAGTGCCTGTTGTATGCTATGGACATATTTTTTCCCCTTTTTGCAGTGCGAGGGAACAAATTCAGGCCCTTTTGCATGATAGGCATGCACTTTAGGACTGACCTATAGCCTCAGCTCTGCTATGAACATTACAAAATAGTAGATTATGTAATTTAAGACTACAATTAGGGAAGAAGGTATTCATTAATTCACAATAGAAGAAATGAATCTTAATGAGTTTTATCTAAGGTCACAAGAGACATTAAGTATCAAAACTGGGCATTCGAACATGGATGTTTCTAACTCCAGACACCCATATGCCTGACCCTAGTTGTGGCGAACTAGATGTGTTATGTATATTTGGCAGAGTGGAACAGAAAGATTATCATTAAAAAGTCATCAATTGTCACTGGATTCAAGCAAAGCTCAAAATTTTAAATCTGAACTAGGACCAGTCACTAAAATTCCCAAATTCTAAGAATAAAGAAAAACTCTTGAGAAATTCCCAGTAGGGGGGGAACAAAAAACAGCACAAAGAGAAAAGAATCAGACTGACATTAAACTGGAAGCAAGATGACTGTGCAGCAGCATCTATAAGTGAAAGACTGTAAGTGAAATAGGAAAAAAGGATTGCAATTGTGAGATATTTGAGAACTATAGAATATCTCACCCCCCTGAAAAAAATACTTGACAAGACAAAATAATGAAAAGCTCAAATTACAAGTGTCAAGGTGACAAAAAGAAAGCAAATGAGCAGTGAAACCAAATTAAATCTAGAAGGATGCACAATGAAATTAAAAGAATAAGGCAAGACACAGGGAATGTATAATGTAAATACAAAATAAGATTTCTTAAAACAGAATGAATGATGCAGTATAATTTTGGAAGGATTGCAGAACAAAGTGTACTAATCTAAACAAAATTTAGGATTAACAAGGAGAGAGATAGGGTAAAACTATTATAAAAGTCTTTGCAGTATGTGTGAGGAAGAAATAGCCTCTTTTTTAGAAGACATTCTTTTAAGTTCTCATCTTACGTGGTTAAGCACTAAAGATAAGGAAGACATTTTAAAATAATGAACAGTACATAGTTGTAAAGAAGATATTTATTAATCTAAGTGAACCATACAACACAGCAACTGAAGTATAATCCACATTCCTTGATACTACAAATATCAAAAATTAAAACTATAGCTATGTAGAAAGCAATGAAAAAAGTAGTTTTTATTCCTAGACTATGTATGTTACATGGTGTAACGATCCTCAGAAAAAAAGTGTAGTCTTCAATTTTTCCTTAATTAAGAAGAAATAGGAAAGACAAAGAAGGAATCATATTAAGAAATCCAAACAACAACGAAAAGTCCAAAGGAAAAGAGGAAAGACCTAGATCAAAGCCCAAACTATCAACCTACAACAGGAAAACATGTGAATATACATGCCTAGCCTAATTTCTGTGCCAACTCAAATATTAACGTGTGTTAGCTGATCAGTATCCATGGAATAGAGGCTGCATATAAGTTCTCTGAAGGCAATTTTGGACCTAGCCATTTATCTCCCCTCCCATTATTTATGTACCTCAGATTCCTACTTGGAAAGGAAGCTGTTACCTTGAGTGAAGGGCCAGACATGCAGGATTCTACAATACTAAATCCTAAGGCTAGAGAGGAAATTTTGTTGTCATGATAAATCTGCTTGAAATTTACACTCTAATAAAAATTCCCCATGGAAGGGGATTCATGAATTTGGAATACTAAATCTTTGAGGGGAGAAAAAAAAACAAGAAAGACCTCAAAACATTTTTATGCATTAATGACAACCACACAAGAACAGATACAGACAGAGCTATTGTATTTACTTTAACATTTTCTTTTTATTCTGTGCTCCTCCTACCTCTCTAGAATGCTGTCATTGTCAACAACTCTTTTCATAACCTCTGAGGCTTAGTAAGAATTTTTACAATCCTAATGTAGAAACTTTGTCATCTAGTATTATATATTTAGATACTTGTTATATTGTTATTGGCATTTACTTCATATTTTAGATAAAGATCACCAAGAGTGATCATTGAAGATCAAAGGCCTATTTGTTTTTCACTCAGTTTGACTTAAAGATAATGATGCATTTGAATCACTTGATTTGTAGCTGGCATTAGTGAAAAGGAGGGAAGATATGGGGGAATCGTAATTATTTTTCTGAAAATTTATAAGACTAGACTGTGATAAGAGAATAGACAGACTTATCTTTAACGTCTTATCTTGTTCTTCCAAAATATGGGAACAGGGGCCTTAAAATCTAGAAAACATCCCTATAAGTTTGTAGCATATGCAATATATAGGTAATGTACTTACTTTGGGGTTGGGCCTCTTTTAGTCTAATAAACTCTGAGGCTACTGGAAATAATAAAAATGCAAATTATTATTCTATTAGTTGAGATTTGCATTACTGTTGTTTGAAAGGATGCCATGCAAAGGAACTTTTTAAACTCTGTGCATTGTGCAGCTGATGTCCAAAAATAAGATTGCATATATATGACACCTTTCTTCTTATGTAATTTTGCCTATTTTTGAGATTGTAATGGAACTAAGGTTTCTCTTGTTTATTAAATTTATTTTCCTCTTTTTGAGCAGAAGAGCTAGAGAAATCATTTTACTGTTTCTTTTTCTTTTGATAATATTTGCTTCCAAAAAGCAGTAGGAAAATGTTGTGATGTTAGAGCAAAGAATGCATCGGCATTGTTTCTACCAGCAGTGTAATTCTATTGATATCTGTAAGCTTTTGCACTTGTCCATTTAACCCAGACACCAGATAACATTTTTAGACCTAGCCTCATTACAAATCGCTGTCAAATGTGTGGGGTAATTCTCCTTCTGCCGTAGCTATTACATATTAGCTTTTTTTGTGTGTGTGTGTGTGTGTGTGTACTGGATTGTCTCATTCTCAGGTGTTGTTTCAAACAGCATGCTATTCTGTGGCATTTACCAATTTGCAAAGTTTTGCTCACCATTCAGTTCACTTTTTTCATATGCTTTCAAGGATTCCTCTAAATTTTTTTCTGCTAGTTACAGGTTTTAAAGAGAGACGTTGAAATCTGATCCTCTCATCTCCGTTTTCTCTGTGTCCCTCTGTAGGATGAATACAAACCGGAAAAGGCCTTGTCAGAGGAGGACTTGAAAAATGCTGTGAGCATGCACCATGCCCTGGCATCCAAGGCCACAGACTATGAGAAGAAGCCAAATGTGTTTAAACTGAAAACTGCCGACTGGAGGGTCTTGCTTTTTCAAACCCAGTATGTCTTTTTACATTGGTTCTTATTCATTTTTAGTGTTTAGTTCCCTTACCACCATTTTATACTAAGGAACAGATTCAGGCTCTGTATGGGAAATTTTGTGAATTGGCACCAGGGCCAAGAACTGGTTGCATTAAAGAAATAACTCCCTGAGATGACTCACATAAAAACACCGGGACCGTGCCGCCATGTGTTATTAGTATCTCCGTGACGTTAATAAGCTTTCTTATCATCTCTAGAACTCATTGTCCTCATCAATAAAGTGAGAGAGTTGTGGTAGACATGTTCTCTCACACAATGAGCAACACAGATGTGGATTTGAATCAGTATGTCCTCGCTCTTTCTCACAGCGCATAGTTTTTTAACGTCATTAAACCTTGGCTTGCTGCTACCATAGGTGGTGATGTTTATCTCCTAGAGTTCTGGTGAGGAATAAATGAGGTAAGTGTAGAAAGCACTGCACAGTGTGTACACACTGTCCAACAGGTATAAATTTTCCATTTCACGCTTGTCTCCCTCTCCTTCTGAGTGCCTGTAGTCTGTGGTATACCAGGAAATACAAGATCATGTTGTGAACGCGGAAGTGGGATACATCCTGCGATTCACAGGTCTGGGGACGGGCTTCAGACTAGAGGCAGAGCATTCATTCCACATGAAGGATTCTGGATTTGTGAAGTGAGAAACTGGATTTGCAGAGTAGAGGTTCAAAGAGCAGGAACTTCAATAGCGGTCCCTCAGCCTAGCAGACAGTGTGAAACCATTCAGGGCTTGAGCTTGACTTCAGAATCGTCTTCGGCTTTGTACTATCAGCTGACTCCAACTAATGCCAGAATTAAAATTGGACACTGAAAGTAGGAGGTGCAAGCATGTGTGTAGTTGTTGATCAATCAGTGTGATGTCAGAACGATGAACGGGAGCAAGATCTATTGGGAATTGAACTTTGAAGAGTATAAAATTGCTGGCATCCGCTGATACAAGAAAACAGGAGTTTCTCAGTGTGGGGATGGGGGGTTCCATTCCCTCCTGCAGGGAAACCATGGCTAGATGCATAATTACAACTATTAAGCATAAAGAATCTTTCATATTGTTCTGTTCCACATTAGTTTCTAAGTCTGAAATACCTGATAATAACACCTGGGGAATTCTAGTTACTGCAGACAGAACTGAAATGACAGCGTTGGAGTAATCAGATTAGAGAGAAATATGGGGTACACTAAGGAGTGTCAGGTTAGTGGGGTTTCTTCCAGCATAATCAGTAAAGAAAATGATTTTATATTTGGTTAACACTTTCTCATATCCCCCCTGCCCTTTTTGTACCAGGGATGGAACTCAGGTCCTTGTGCTTGAGAGGCAGGTGGTGGAACCATTGAGCTAAATCCCAGGCCCTCACATTTTATTTATGATGATGTACATGGCCGATAATCTTTCCTGGTTCATGGCCATTTCTCCCACTCATTTTTGAATTCACAAATATTTAAGAACTATCCTTTCTGGATATAATGACACACGAATGAAAAATACGATCGTGACAGCAGATAATTTCCACCTCCTCTAAGATGGATTTTAACAGTCTTATTAAGCTATATTTTATATACCATAAGTTTCATTTGTTTTAAATATGTGCTATTGTGATTTTTATTGAATTTACTAATGGTCCAACCGTCACAGCAGTCCATCTTTGGAACACTTCCGTCAGTCCCGGGAGACCCCTGTGCCTATTTTACAGTAACTCCTCCTTCTCACCTCCAGCTCCAGTCGCGCACTAATGTACTTTATCGTCTCTTCAAGTATTGCCTTTCTGGACATTTCATGTACATGAAATCGCATAATGTGCAATATTTTGTATTTGGCATCTGTCATCTAGCATAAAGTTTTGCCACAGCCCTTCCTAATTCTATCAAATACTATCTTACTATTTAGATGTACCACAATTCATTTATTCATTGAGTAGTTGTTGGGCATTTGGATTTTGTCCCTCCTTTGTTGGTTCTCAGAAATAATGGTGCCGTGAATATTGACATACTGATGCTTGTGTAGTTGTAGGCTTTTATTTTCCTGAGGTACCTGTTCTATAGGAATAGAATTGCTAAGTTGTATGATAAATTTATAGTTAACTTTTAGAGAAACTATCAATTCCAAAGTGGAGATAGCCTTTTTTACAATCCCTATATCGATGTATTCCTCAATTGAACTTCAAAATAAAATTATGTTATTAGAAGAGATGGGTTCATTTTTAGTTCGCTTTTGAGATTCGTCTCTTCAAGTATTGCCTTTCTGGACATTTCATGTAAATGGAATCGCATAATGTGCAATCTTTTGTATTTGGCATCTGTCATCTAGCATAAAGTTTTGCCACAGCCCTTCCTAATTCTATCAAATACTATCTTACTATTTAGATGTACCACAATTCATTTATTCATTGAGTAGTTGTTGGGCATTTGGATTTTGTCCCTCCTTTGTTGGTTCTCAGAAATAATGGTGCCGTGAATATTGACATACTGATGCTTGTGTAGTTGTAGGCTTTTATTTTCCTGAGGTACCTGTTCTATAGGAATAGAATTGCTAAGTTGTATGATAAATTCATAGTTAACTTTTAGAGAAACTATCAATTCCAAAGTGCAGATAGCCTTTTTTACAATCCCTATATCGATGTATTCCTCAATTGAACTTCAAAATAAAATTATGTTATTAGAAGAGATGGGTTCATTTTTAGTTCGCTTTTGAGCAATGAAAAGTAGAAGTCTAATAAATACATTTCTCTTTTTCCCCTCTGTATTCTAGAGGGATAATCCATATTCCACTAGGATGACTGTAAATTTCAGAGCTTTTCACTTCCTGATGATCACTATTGAGAATGCTAATTCCCAATGAAACTTTGTTAGGGATTAGTGGGCAGAGTATGATGTTTGTAGATGCAGAAATATGCTAACATAAGTGTCTGTGTTTCTCATAGGAGCCCAGAGGAAATGCAAGGGTGGATAAACAAAATTAATTGTGTTGCAGCCGTGTTTTCTGCCCCACCATTTCCAGCGGCCATTGGCTCTCAGAAGAAGTTTAGCCGCCCACTTCTGCCTGCCACTACTACAAAGTTATCTCAGGTTTGTCATTTTGACAGTGCTTTGAACCTGAAAAATTGTGATTTTATTAATTTGTAATCTATTCAATACTCTTATCTGAATAGGACTCCGTGTTTGGAGGGCAGATGAGAAAGTTTGTTGTGTGAGACCACATTATATAAACATAAAATACTGGGCTTTACACTTCAGTCATATTTGCCTGGAGTTGTTTGTTTATTTTAATAGCTTTTAATATTCCAGTAACTGGCTAATACTAAGGAAATATCTTGGCAAGCTTTTTCTTTCCTTCTCTCTCTCTCTCTCTCTCGATTCATTTTATTGTGAGTTAACTATGTTTGGTGGTAGGAACATAACATATTTTTAGGAACCCACACTGTGCAGTGTGGTGGCGCGGAAGGGTCTGCCCTACTCCTCAGGGAAGAACTGAGTGGAACATTTACTAAAAATAAAAGATATCTTACTACTGAATGTGACGGGGCAGTTTGGAAAGCAATGTGTAAGACCATGCATGCAATAGTGAATGGACTTTCAAAAGAATAGAGTTCTTTTGCACACAACCTGGTGCGCCTGTGTAGGTTAGGGCAGCCTCACCCAGAGGAGAGACTCTGGGGAGATGTCTGTGCTGACCACAGCAGACCCTGAAGTAAGCATCTGGAGATGCCCCTGACTTCTCCAGTCCCGCACAGACTAGTTCTCTTTAGCCTGGTTATTCTCACCCGAGGCATTGTTGACAATTTGGCTGGAAGGCAATCTGTGAACTGTAGGATGTTTAGCAGTCTCCGCATCTTCTTAGTAGGTACCAACTACTCCCCACACCCAGGTCTACCACCCAAAAGTTGGAATCTCCAAATATTGATCTCAGATGTCTTCTGAGATCCAAGTGCAGCCCATCCTGTTGAGAATCACTGTGCTAGCTCAGTACTTCTGAATCTGAGACTGCCTGTCTTTCCTTTGAGTATACCCACAGCCAGGCCATGACTCTCTCAAATGCCAGAACATCTTGTGTATTTCAGTTTATAAAATTTGTAACAAAGTGAGCACCCTGATGGACAAAAAGATAAACATTGTTGGGGAAAATAATTAAACGTTCAATTAAAAGATTGTTTGGTACTTTTAAGACACATTATTCATCATCCTGTCATTTCTGAGCTCTTCTTTAATTTATTCTTGTCTTCTATCCAAAACGTATTAGCCTCAATTATTAAAACTGATTATTGTCAGTGCAGCACAGTTCTTCCTGAACAACTCGCTGTGTAGGAGTCTCCTTCTCAAGTTGTTTTTCATGGCAGTATAGCCAGAACACATTTTTCTTCTTCTGTTGTGGGTGGAGAGACAAGTTTGAAAATCCAGGATTTTTTCCTCTTTCTGATGTTCAACGCCCCCCGAATCTATTCAGGACCTCCTTTTATGCCCAGCAAAGCAGCCATTCTCAGGCATGAATGTGCATATACAATGGCTATTTCCCAGCCCTGCAGGCAGTTTGGATCCAAGTGGTTACCAGGAAACATGTATCTGTCTCACACTCGGGACTGCCCCAAGCAGTACAGGTGACACTTGCAACACACTGCGCTATGGCAGTCTCTGCCTCCTTTAGGTCCTTCAAGCCTGCTCTTCTACCGCATCGACTCGCTGTTCCTGATAAATATCTCGTCCTGTTTTCTTTCTTGAACCCCAGCCATTGTTGTGTAAAAGCCTGACCACATGGATAGTCACTAAATACTAAATATTATGGCTTCAGGTCCAAGTTGTATGATGAGCACTAACCAGAAATTAAAGGGTGTCCTGAGCTTTCTTTCCGTAATAGTAGCCCCCACCCCTCTCTCCCCTGGGCTTTGGCCATAACCATCGCCCAATGCCTCAGGGATTCATCACAAGCCTCTAGAACTTGTAAGCAAACTCAGTACGGGTACAAGATACAAGAGTGTTCTGTATAAAATACAAATTATATCTAAGTGCTGATTTTAAAAATTTTCCCCAGAGGATCCTCTTGCGTGGAGTTTACACAGCCTACTTTGAAAAACACCGCTCCATGGACCCTGGGGCTCAATCTGAATCTAATCTTTCTTATCTCCAACACACCTTTCACAGTTCTGGGTGAAATGTGGCCCCGTTGTGTCACTTAGCTTTCCTGCCTCACTTTCACCAGTAGGTTGTAGTCTAGACTCCATGGCATTGTCCTAAATAGGGATCTCACTTTTCCAGAGGAAACAGCAGAGCATCCATTTCTTAGAGTCTGTTTAATATTTCTTAGAGTCAGTGGAGGCAAACTTATGGTGCATGAGCCACAGTAGGCTCTTCGTTATCACTGAAAGTTGTTCTACAAGCTTCACCATCACTGCGTTAGGTGTTCAATAAAATAATTAATTGAATCATGCAGAAGTCATTGCTTAGGCCCTTTAAACTGTCTTAAACATGAAACAGTGAAGTCAAATCTTTCCAGTGGTGCTTCCAGCAATAGCTCTGCTCTAACTCAAGGAAGATACCCTTTATTCTAGGGCTCCAAGTTCAGCAGTGGCACTGGTAAATTACATTGCCATTGACTAGAGATGTCATTACCTGATAAATTATGTCTCCTCTAAGCCCAAAGGAAGCCACTTGACCCCCTCCCTCTTTACTTTCACTTGTTTTCTTGTGATACTGTGCAGTAAACACAATACAACCTTTCCTCACCAACACTTTTAAAAAAAAATTTAAGCAAGGTCTTACTAAAGTAGCCTTGCTTACCTCCTCCCACCTCAGCTTCTTGAATAGCTGGGATTACAGGCCTCCACTCTTTAAAAAAACGAATCCATTCATTCATCTTCTGTCCACTGAGGAACGTGTCAGCACTCTCTTAGGTAGGTAGGCATGATAAAGGTAAGGCACTTGTCTCAGCCAGGTGATGGTGAACCTGCTGCAGCACGTGTGCCATGGGTTCACCACCCGTCTAGCTCTTAACTTTTGGGAGCTTGAAGTGTTAATGCTAGAAAAGTAATGTCTACAGACTACTGGGATACCTACTTCTTATCCAGTTAACGTTCTGTTAGACACTCAACGATTCAAAGTTGGGGGAAGTGATCCTTTTTGCCTTCAAAGAGCTTATAATCAGTAAATGGAATAAAATTAGTGCGTAGGTCAGAATATGCTTCGTGATAAGCAAGTGGTAGAGACATACAACTTCCGGAGTAACTCAGGAGGAAAGCATTGTGAGAGCTGGATTATATAGTGCCAGTTTGAGTGGTATTTGAAGCAAGGCTTGTAGACCTGCCTGTTTGAGACCTGTGGAGAGGAGGCATGTTAGGCAGAATGGAGTTTATGAAGAGCTCTGAAAGCCTTGACTTTAGCATTGATACATTAAGAAATACAATGTTTTTATTTTTGTGAGCAGCACTGGGGATTAAAACAAATGAGATACATCCCCAGTCCTTCAATGCCTCCCTCTCTTCTTCTCTCCTTCTTCCTTCTTGAGTCACTTTCACAAAGTCACTAATATATCCAGACGGGGCTCTATTTTGCAATCATCCTGCCTCAGCCTCCTACAAGTGCTGGAAGTATGGCATGAGCCACCCTGGCTGGTGAAATGCAGTGTTTTGAAGTTTGTGCTTTCAGCAGCCCTTTGGCTTTAGGAATGTTGTTCCAAAGTGAGTTTATGATTAGAAGTTGGGTGAACAGGCCTGCTGCCGTAAGGCAGTACTTGAACTCTCTGAGTCTCCATTTCCACTTAGATGAAGGATCAAAAAGGACAAGTGCTTCATTCTCTTTAGGGGCCTTAGAATCCTGAGTCCAAGTAGGGTGAGAAGTTTGATGTGGGAACTGTGGCTGTTCAGCCTCCTCCCAGCAGCCCCTCCTCCTGCCATTGCTCAAGGCTCCCCCTCCCACGTCCCCTCTCCTCCCATTCCCTCAAAGCCATCTGCATCTCCGTATTGTTTCCTCTGGTTTTCCACGGATTTTCTCTCATCCTCCTCTACATGAGAAGTGCTGAGTCTTACAGTTGGAGAGCTTGTTTCTGAGCCGGGTGGGGGCTGGCTCAGGATGGGAGGGCACTGCTGCAGCCCCACCCTGACAACCACGAGGCCTGGAACTGCCCTGTTACCTGTTCCCACTGCCTCATCACTTAATCAGAAGCTTCTTCATAGTGATGAAATTAGTGTTTGATAATTGAGTTCATCAAAAATCTAAAAACAGATCTATCTCATGATCCAGCTGTCTCACCTCTAGATTTAGAAAGAAAATGAAATCACAGCAGAGATACCTGGGTGTCCATGTTTACAGTGGCACTGTTCACAGTCACAAAGGTATAGACTTAACTGGGTGCCCATACATACATGAATTGATGAAGAAATGTTGCTTAATATGCAACATATTATCAAGCCAAAAAGAAGAATAAAATACTGTCATCTGTGACAACATCCATAGAATGGGAGGACATTATGTTAAGTGAAATAAGCCAGACACAGCAAGACAAGTATCACATGTCTTGTCATATGTGGGGATTAAAAAACATCAATCTGAATATAGAATAGTGATCACTAGAGGTTGGGGAGAGATGGTGGATAAAGGGAGAATGGGTTCAATCAGTACATACTGCATTCATGTGTTGAAATATCACACTGAAATTGCATTTATATGTGCAATCACTATGTGTTAATCAAAAATAAAATAAAGTTAGGCATGGTCTCTGGTGTGCACCTATAAACCCTAGCCACCTGGAAGGCAGAAGGATCACTTAAAAATAGGGATTCAAGCCCATCCTGGGCAACATAGCTAGACTCTCTTTGAAAAAGAAAGAAAGAAAGAAAAGAAAGAAGAAAGTTACATTTAAGAAAAGGGAAAAATTTCCCTCAAATCACTATGTAAGCAGAAGAAAATAAATCTCTTTAAATTTTCAGTTGACAAATTCTAATTGTATATATTTATGACAACATCTAAAAGAATACTACCTAGACTTTCCAAAGTCCAAAAACACAAGGATTTAATCTTATTTGGAAAAAATGTATCTATATCCTAATAATTTTAGTTACAAAAATACACAAAAAACAAAGGAAAAAAACCTTGCTTTCTTAAAATGTAAATAATTATACTGACACAGAACTACTGTAAAAAGACAAAACTACCCAGTGAAAAACTTCGTCCCTTGTTCCAGTAGGCAGCTCACAGAAAATTCAGTGAACCTACAAAAAGTGCTTATCTTTGGTCATATTCAGGGAAATGTAAATTCAAATTCCGGTGGCTTGTCATTTCATATTCATGAAATTAGCAAAAATTTACAAATGTAATGAAATCAAATTTTGACAAGGATATACAACAGTGGAAAATTTGAAATTTGCTGTGAAAATGTAAGACAGAGGGACTTTGGGTCTATTAAGTAATTTACATGTTGCAGAGGGAACAACTTTGAAAGAAAGAAAAACTATTGACCTGGCATGTCTTAGTCAGCTGCAGCTGCCAAAACAAAATAGTATAGAAGAGTGACACAAAGAGCAGACATTTATCTTCTCACGGTTCTGGAGACTGGAAGTTCCATATCAGAATGCAAGCAGGGTCAGTGTCTGATGATAGCTTCCCTTGGGCTATAGACAGCTGCCCTCTTGCCTTGAGTACAACTCAACTCTTTTGAGTACAACTACATGTGGAATTAAAGCTACAGCATATGAATATGGGGCACAGACTTTCATACATAATATTGTTTATATTTGGTAAGGGGAAAATAACAGATGAGTGAGAAATTATATATAAAAGCTCCCTGCAGCGTTTCCATTGAGTTTCAGCGTTACCAGTGTACAAAGGATAGGTTTAGAGACATAGGTTGCTTTCTGTGTGTGTGTGTGTGTGTGTGTGTGTGTGTGTGTGTGTGGTACCAGGGATCGAACTCAGGTCCTTGCGCTTGCAAGGCAAATAGGTTGCTTTCTAACAACACCTCAAAATGTATTTCCTACCTCTCCCCTACCTTTACTTTTCTGAGGCTTTCTAAAAATGTTTTGTTTTTTTTATAGATGTTATTTGAAAATGAATTTTGTCATCTTTCATTCACATTCTGCCACCCCTGTGGTTTATTTTTACACTCATGCACTGTGCTTTTTATTATTTTTCTCTATTTTGATGCCTTTGCACTTGGAACTTTTTTCTTGGTTGGCTTTTATACTGTGCACTACTGTAGAAGTCTTTAAGATATCATAAGTGACTTAAAATTTCTGGTTATATTTTTCAAACTTACGGTGGTTGTATGTAATTTAGTGCCTAATTCATTCGCTGATAGCCTTTTGAAATTATTTTCATCATTCTACAATAACATTTTTACATTCTAAAATTATGTTAATGTTGTATAAAATATATTTATTACCTATGTTAATCAGTTTCTAGTCTTTCTCCTTTTATTCTTATCGTATAGGTGAAATTTGTACTCAAGTATTTGGATAATTTGCATGTGAATGTGAAATAGTAAGCAGTCATACAATTTACAAATGCAAGAAAGCTCCAGTCTTTTTTAGGAATGTTTTAAAGTGCTGTGAGAGGTTTTCATAGTATATCCTTTTAAGGAGTTTATTGCTAAGGTGTGTGCCCCTAGAATGAAAATCTTTTGACATAGGATCAGTCATGTTCCATTGGTTCATGGTGCCTGTTACTGACATTCTAGTAATGATTAGTATATGGCTACATTTTAATTGAACAAATGCCATGGGCCAGTGGAATTGTAGGACACGAGAACCTCTGCTGCTTTGAAAGGGAAAAGTACAAATAGCTGCATGTTTTAGAAAAAACATTAGATCGGTTTCACTGAAATATTTCTTTGTATCATTGATCATCTCAAAAGAGGAAAAAGCTATGCAGACAGACACATTCATTGCGATAGAAACCAGCAACACTGCTGGTTGGGCATGAATTGGAGAAGCCAAGTTCTATGGTGATCAGCTAGCACTTAACTGTTCTGCTGGTGATTTGCCTGCCAGGGTTTTCTTGGATACCTGGTCAACTCAATGGAATCCAATAATCTTGAAAGCCATTTGGTTTTGTGAACAGGACCTGGTTAGGGAAGCTGGCCTTGATTGCCATCCTGAGAAGGAACCCACCAACAGTGCCATGAGAAAGAATGATGTAGGAGCAGAGGCACATTGCACTATTGGGCTGAATTTAGGTCATTCAACATAAGCAGATTTTAAAAGCACTGTACATCTTTTACTGATTTATTTTCTGCCCACTAAATGGCTTAATAATTTCCTGCAGGAGGAACAGCTGAAATCTCATGAAAGCAAGCTGAAGCAGATTACCACCGAGCTGGCAGAGCACCGCTCCTATCCCCCAGACAAGAAAGTTAAAGCCAAGGATGTAGATGAATATAAGCTCAAAGATCACTATCTGGAGTTTGAGGTATGTTGAACCTAAATGTTAATAAATGCGTATCTTATGATTCATCCATGAGGTGAAAGGTTGTAAGCAGCTACTGTAACCATGGGGGGCTTGCCTTGGCCCTAGCTCTAATTTGGGAGCCTCTAGCATGGTATTGATCCTGGTCACCCGTCATGCTTGCGATTCTATTTAAGTGCCAAATAAACATCAAACATCCTCTTCCCATGTACACACTTGAAAGCAAATAGCCTTCCTGGTTAGAATAGTGTGCACCTGCTGTGAGATTCAGAAAAAAAAGAAAACGACGAATAACAGAGGGAAGTGCAGTCTGGACCACTTCTGTACATGTCCCTGTGTCCCCTCCAGCAGAGTCTGAGTCAAAAAAAAAGGAAATGAGATAGAGGATAAGGGGAAGCATCCGCTTTCCCCACACGTTCTTGCTGTTCGGCGACACCAGTATATCTTCTTACCACTCACTGTCCTTTCCAAGGATATGGATACATTAGCTGGTGGCACATTTGAATGCTCTAGTTAGTGTGGCTGTAAGAAAGAGGGGTAAGAACCATGTGCTCGGGTATGAAACAGCAGAACATTTAAAAGCAAATTGAAAGCAATATAATTTCTAAGTGTTTCCTTTGACTGTTCTTCCAAATTAGTGTCAGGATCTTTCAACTCTCTTGCTTAGCCACTTCCTTCAGACACTTGAAGTATCTCAGAAGAAAATGCAGGAGGCATATATTTTTTTCTGTTGGGAGTGCTCAGTGTATCTGTAGCTATTTGTACTCCTTGCAGCTCTGTCTCTTTTATTTCCCCATTCTTCTCTCTCATTCCCGTATCATGCTGTTTTTTCCTCGAGTAGCCATACTAGCAAAGACTTGAGAAAAACACTTAAAAAAAGACAGTGACAGAAAACTAAGCAGCTCATCATGTCGCAGGCTTATTCATTCTTAGAAATGGGAATTCTCAAAAAGCAATCATTATTTATCACACTTCTGGGATAGATTTAAGACATAGCCTGTTTTGTTTCACACATTCTAATTAAATTTCCCAATACCTCAGGCCCCTGCTTTCAGCACTCTGCAACTTACTTTGAGCCCTGGACTCTAAGGGGAAAGAGCCTGTCCCCAGGAGGTGGGGGCAACTGCGAGGCCAGGGAAAGTTGGCCACTGCTTGATGCATACCCCTGCTTTTGAACTTTCCTCCGTGCCTTTTTTCTAAAAATGTAGCCCAACCAGAGTCCGCATTTTCGTTTCTGATGTGAGGTTGACCCAGCCCTGGGGAGCTTATCTTCTCTTCATCACATTGTCTCCTCAAGGAGCACAAAGAAGATTACATTCCAGAGCCCTCGACTGATTAAAATCAGACTCATGCTAATATGTGGAGCATATGGTGCTGTCTATCAGGCTACGTTAACCCATGTCTAACAGCAAGGTAGATGGTGCCTCACTTTGTGCAGATGTTATCTAAAATAGATTTTTTGTGAGTGTGATGTTTTTTGAGAAGTGAGTCATTGGCTATCAAAAATTTAAATGAAAATTGAAGTAAGATGTCATATAGAGTCTACCTTGCTGTGATGTCAGCACCGGAATTGATCCCCTGTGAGTGCTTGTGGAGGTCCTTGCATAGCATAATTTGCTTTGTAAGCACCCTGCCCTGAGCAGATTGCTTCCTTCCCTGAAGGGGAAGAGAGAGCTATTGGCCACTTTGTGTAAATGTTAATGGCCCTGTCCCAGATCCTAGAATACTGATGGAGAGCTTGATATGTATCTGCTGAGTGTCTTAATGAAATTTTATCACTGTGTATGGAAGATAACAGAGGAAGTAATTCTGTGATAAAGCTTAATAATAGTCCTTTTTACTGGAGCAGAACTAAAAGATGCACCCCATGAGAGTGCAACTGACAGGCAGGTGAGAACAGATGGTGGTGCCTGGGATTCAGTGGGAGCCCTCAGATGGACAGGGGCGGGGGCACTGACCCAACCTGTGCTGCAGTTTCCCCCACAAGGCGTCAGATCAGTTTTCTCACCTGCTCCGTGGTGGGTCATCACCATGAGACTCCCTTGGTTTCAGAGCAGTTCTTATTTTCACAAGTCTTGGTGAGGAAAAACACTTATTTTGGCAGAATATTATGCTATTTGTGATACCAGGAATTGTTCCTAAGTTTATGCATTTGTTTATATCACAAGTTGCTTTGAGTGCATACAGTTAATAACAAGCCAGCTTCACAGGTCTTACTATTCTGTACACATTCTCAAAACTCACTATGGTAAGTAACTTGAAATTCTGGTAAATGCACAGGTTCAAGGTTTAATACACAGAGAGAATAAGAAGGCTTCCACGTTAGCCTGTGAGAAAAAGATTTGTTTTTACTTAACGCAGAAAATGTCACTCAGACTGGGCTATAATCGACTAAATCTGTACTTCTCTCTTCTTTGACTATTAATTAGTGGAGGAGAGAAGTGGGTACTGGATTTATTTTGGATTTAGTTGATAACTTTGGCTGTTTCATGCTTACAAAAATTTGTTTGGAGTCTAATATTACTGGTAAAAGGGTGGTTAAACATCACAAGTTTACACTAGGAAATTAATTCCCAATTTCATGAAATAATCAGAAATAGTCTCATATCCTTATATATTAACTTCTTTCTACTTTAGTTTTAAAAAATATTTTCATTGATCTCCACGCTTCTGGTACACAAGGAACTTGGGGTTTGTATCAAATGAATAGTTTGTACCAGAAATAAAAATTCACAAGATGCCAGCCAGGCAAAGTACAATAGATTATGCTGTGCTGGGACACATCTGAAGAAACAGAATCATTAAGGGAATTTCTCTTGGTAGAATCATCATTGCCCCCCGGTTTTTGGCATTTTGTTCTTTCGGCTTTAAAAATAACCGTGATTTGAACGTGAAGAGGCTGAAGATTTGAAAGTGAAAAATATCTTTTCGTAAATTTCATACAACATTCAAAATGTGTGCAGTAGGTTGAGTAATTGATCCTCCTGTTGAGGCCTGAGTAGAGAGAGGGAGGAAGTGTAAAAGCCCAAATTTCCTAAAAACATGAATGGGATGTTAAGGCGCTGTTGAAGGTCAGGTTCACAGCCAGCTCCCAAAAGCCAGCCCAGAAGCTGCTGGAAAACTGGCCAAGACAATGCACATGAATTTTGTGTGGCAGCGGCCTCATGTCAACACATTCCCTTTGCATTTGTTTTTGTTGTAAATTGAATTCATTTAGGAAAGACAAGCTGTCTCCTTCCTCTTGTCCCCATTTTATCACTTCTGATAATTTTCTACCTCTTTGTTAATAGCCTGGTCCCTCGAGTCAGTATAGCTTCCAGACCGTACAGTGGAGGCTGTAGCTGGTTCTATGTGCTGTGAGTAGTAGTTGTTGTCTTTGAAAATGGGCTTTGGAATCAGTTTTTCTGGTCTGGTTTGAACGTGTTGTGTCACGTTCACATCAGAAACTCAATCCTCCGTATAGGACAGTGTTGGGAGGTGGATGGCAGTGTGTACAGCCCTCTTGCTCACAGTTGCCCTCTCTGGGCAATTTCACCCTCAGGTGATGCTGCACGAGGACCCTGGCCAGATGCTAGGCTATGCTCATGGACTTCCCAGAGCCCAGAACCATTAGCCATGTAATTTTCTGCTCTTTATAAATGACCCAATCTCAGTTATCCGTCTGAAGCCAGAGAAAATCGACTAAGATAGAAAATAGTAACTGAGAAGTGGGACTGTTTCTGTAACAAATAACTGAAAGTGTGGAAGCAGCTTCACAACTAAGTACTGCACAGAAGCTGGAACAGGTTTGGAAGGAAGGCTAGAAAATCCTGTATTGCAACAGAGAGCCCTCTCCTGAGGGCCCAGAAGAAGATAACTGACCAAAGAAAACCTCAGAGTGTACTCAAATAGTTATGGCCACAATTTTGCTGGAAATATGAACAGTGAAGTCAGGCAAAAGGAACAAGGGTCTGGGACCTGTAGTCAAAGCCTTGCTTTTTAAACAGTTGCATAGTTCTTGGTAGAAATGTCTGTATCGTAGGACTTTGTCGAAGGTGAATTTAAGAGTGATGTATTTGATTATCTAATAGAAGAAAAATTTAACCAAAAGATTGAAGGAGATGTATGGCTACTTTTAACCGCATACAGTAAGATGAAAAAGGTGAGAAATCGTTTAAAGACAGAATTTATAATTAAAAGGGAAGCAGAGCAGAAAGACTTGGAAAGGTTCCAGGTCATATAAAGAATAAAAAGGCTTCTTTAGCAGAGTAAGCCACGGGTATAACTAAGCCACCACGTGCTAAAGAAATTGCCATGTGTAGAAGAAACTATCAGGACAGTGGGAGAGAGACCCTAAAGTCCCTTTGGAGAACTTCAAAGTGGCCCCTTGTATTACAGTGCCCAAGCAGTCCTCGAGGGCAAAATTTCCAGAGCAGATTCTCAGCATTCGCTGCCCTGCACTGCCACAGGTGCAGCCCAAATCCTAGGGCAGCACCCCTGTGCCACCCTGGCCACGGTGCAAGCAGCCCAGCTGCAATAAAACCCTTTACTTGGAAGGAGCAAGCTGTAAAACTTGGCAGTGTCCATGTAGAGCTGACTGAGCCGGTGTAGAATGCAATAGCTGTGCAACCATGGCTGCATCCACACTAATCTCAAAGGATGTCGCAGGCAGGGAACTCAGGCACTTGTCACAGCATAGGCCGCTGCCCAGAGTTCCCACTGAGGAAATGTCCAGGGAAGCCTTAGGGACAAAGCAGCCCTCAGGATCCCCAAACTGTGAAGCGATCAGCAAGCAATGCCAGTCTGGGAGAACTGCAGGCGTCAGAGTCCAGCCAATGAGAGTCATGTCTGGGATGAGTCCGGCAACACTTGGGCGGCACAGCCTCCACCCTAGGGTGCCCAGGATCCCAGTACATGGGGTCTAAAGACTTTTCTCCCGTTTCAGGATTTAGTATTTTCCTTGTTGGGTTTTGAACTACTTTGGAGCAGGTATTCCCTTTCTTCTTACCAGCTCCTCCCTTTTG